GATTCCTCCAACTTTTTTGTTCTTTTTCAAGATTGCTGTGGCTATTCAGGGTCTTCTTTGGTTCCATATAAACTTTGGAGTATTTGTTCTAGTTCTGTGAAATATGTTGTTGGTATTTTAATGGTGATTGCACTAAATCTATAGATTGCTTTTAGTAATCTGGACATTTTAATGATGTTAATTCTTCCAATCCATGAACAAGGTATATGCTTCCTTTTTTTTTTTTTTTTAGCCTTTTAATTGTTTTTATTACTCAAAAAAAGCTTCATTTTTTAATTTAGCTTTCTGACTCTGGGCTTGTGCCTTCAATATTTTTGCAATGATTTTCTGCTCCTCAATAAGAAAAGCACACTTGATCCTGTCATGGACACATTTGGCACACATAGATCCACCATAGGCCCTGCTGACGTGTTTTTTCATTTTAGACAACCTCATTAGACCTTTAGGTCTCATGGCACGAACTCCACGAAGTCGGCCTGGGCACACACCACATGCAGACTTTGGTGCTTTCCCAGCCTTCTTGGTATATAGGTAATTCTATTACCAGGGGTTCGGGATAGCTTAGTTTTGTTAGAGGCTGTATTGTAGGACAGCCTCCAATGGTATGTCAAACGCTGCACCATTGTGAGTGCCTGAAGTCCCCGTCCCCGGAAGAGGATGCTTCCACTTTTTTATATCTTCCTCTATTTATTTTTTCAATGTCCTGTATTCTGTGAATAGCTCCTTCTTTTTTGGGGGGGGGAGGGTATGTGCCCCTAGCGGGAACTGAACCCATGACTCTCTGGTCCACAGGGTGATGCTCCAACCACTGAGCCAAACAGGCCAGGGCGGTCCTTTACTTCTTTGGTTAAGTTAATTCCTAAGTATATTAATTTTTTTGCCACAGTGGTAAATGGGATTGTTTTTTTAGTTTCTCTTTCTGTGAGTTCATTTTTGGTGCATAAAAATGCCGTCAATTTCCTGACGTTAATTTTGTATCCTGCTACTTTGCCAAATTTATTTATTAGCTCTAGTAAATTTTTGATAGAGTCTAATTTAGGGCTTTCTGTGTACAATATCATCTCATCTGCAAATAATGACAGTACTGGAAGTCTTAGCCACAACAATTAGACATGCAGAAAAAATAAAAGGATCCAAATTGGAAAGGAGAAAGGGAAACTATGTTGAATAGGAGTGGTGAAAGTAGGCATCCCTATCTTGTTCCTGTTTTTAAGGGAAATCCTTTTCATTTTTGCCCATTGAGTATGATGTTGGCTGTAGGTTTTTCATATATGGCCTTTATTATGTTGAGATATGATCCCTCTATTCCCACACTGATGAGCATTTTTATCAGAAATGGGTGCTGGATTTTGTTGAATGCTTTTTCAGTATCTATTGATATGATCATATGGTTTTTATCTTTCATTTTGTATATGTGGTGTATCACATTTATTGATTTGCAAATATTGTACCATCCTTGCATCCCTGGGATGAACCCCACTTGGTCATGGTGAATAATTTTTTTGTATTGCTAGATCCAATTTGCTAATATTTTGTTAAGGATTTTGGCATCTATGTTCATCAGGGATATTGGCCTGTGGTTTTCTTTCTTGGTAGTATCTTTATCTGGTTTTGGAATTAGAATTATGCTTAGCCCTCCTGATTTTTATCCTCCAACATAGGTGTGGGACCAGCCCATCCACACTTCCGCCCCTCCTACCAGTCTCGATGTGACTTCTTTAATTTTGTAGTTGTAGAACTTCCATTCAGCTTGCTCTCAGGCAGTTCTGAATGATGGTTGTTCTGTAGTTTGTCATTTTGATGTGGTTGTGGGAGGAGGCGAGTACCGTGTTTATCTATGCTGCCTTTTTTACTGGAAGTCTGTAGAATATTTTTAAATGCATTGCTGAACCTGGAAGAAGTAAGGAAGTTCCCAAAGGCAAACTTAAAGAAAACCTAGAGAGTAAAATTAGTTAAAGGGGACAAAAAAGGTGAGGCTGGAGGCATGTATTCCCAGGAATCTAGAGTTTTGGGGATTAATAGCTCTATGAGAAGACCTGCCACGTGTAGGCTTCTGAAGCTGAGGTCTCTGCATAAAACGTCTATCTCCAAAAGAATTATACCTTCAGAGAAAGAAAGGATGGCTTTGAAAATAATCTGCTTTGAGTCAGGAGCTGTAGGGAGAGTTTCCTCCCCCCATCCTGGCTGTACTGTGGTATGTTTTGGGAGCTAAAGCGTAGGTCTGCCCTCACTTGAAATCTCAGGTTTGAATTTGTACTCCCTGGGAAAGGAGAAATTAATTCAAAGTTGTTCAATTTAGTAGTGCTCCTTGGTACTTGGCTTCTGGAAGAGAAGCATCTTCATTCTAGCACCCTGGGAATTTTAAAGATTAAGGAGCTAAATATAAGCTATTTATTTATTTGATCCTCACCCAAGGTTATTTTTCTATTTATCGTCAGATAGAGTGGGAGGGGGAGAGAGGGAGAGAAAAACATCAACTTGAGAGGGACACATCGACTAGTTACCTCTTGCACAACTTCGACCAGGTACATGCCCTTGGCAGAACCAAACCCAAGACTCATTGGTCTGTAGGCCGACACTCTACTGCTGAGTCAAACCGACCAGGGCTGAGCTCATTTAAAAAAAAAAAAAAATGGTAATTTAAAAATGTTTTAAGTAGTATGTAATAAGACACCATTGATGAGACTAAAGCAACCAACAGATTGAGACACCTGTAGGATGTTAGATGCTTGAATTATCAGGTGCACAATATAAAAGATAGGATAAAATAAATAACCTCTCAAATGATTTAACATATGAAATATAAGTAGAAGTTCTAGTTCAAAAGAGTAATTTTCAACTAGTAAAGAGAAATTTAAAAGTTAGTAGGTAAGTTAAAACAGATTAGAGACAGCTGAGGTGAATAAGTGAATTGGCCAATAAATCTGAAGAAATTACAAGAATACATTTTGAGAGTAAGGAAAATGAAAAATATAAAATAGATGTAAAGAGACAGGAGAAGAAATAATATAAAAACAGTTTGCTCAAAAGCTGTCATTGCCCAAGTACTCTTGCTTAAGATTAATAAATATTGGACCTTTTTTTATTTCTGTAACATATTAAGCTATAAAGTGTGATATTACCAAATCTTAAGCTTTATTGTAATTACATGCATCATAAAGAATGCCAGGTATTTTAATAAACTTCTTGATCTGTTATTTTTATATTTCTATTGATATTTTAGAGAGAGAGGGAGGGAGAGATAGCAATATCAATGTGAGAGCGAGACATTGATTGGCTGCCCCCTGTGCACCCTCCCTACTGGGGATCAAGCCTGAAACCTGGGCATGTGCCCTGGGAATTGAACCGGGACCTCTCCGTCCATAGGGCAACGCTCAATCCACTGAGCCACATCGGCCAGGCTATTATCATTTTTGAATAAGGTATATTCTTTTGAAAGCAAATATAGTCTATATATTGTGTTATAGCCTTTGACTGGCTTAATCTCAGAATCTTAGGCTCTTTCTGTATAAACCAGCAAAAAATATATTTTTAATCTCTTTTTCTTCTAGTTTTCAATTATTGAAAAATGGCTGAGGGTCTTAGATGATGTGAAAGACTACAGTTCAAGTTCTGATATTAGCAAACTAATTTTTTTTTTTTAATGCGAGATTTTCTTTTTTTTTCTTTATTGATTTTTAGGAGAGGGAGAGAGAGATAGAAACATCGATGAGAGAGAACATCAATTGGCTTCCTCCTACATGCCCCCCACTGGGGATGGACCCACAACCTGGGCATGTGCCCTGATCAGGAATCGAACCAGCGACCTGTTGGTGCATGGGTTGACGCTCAACCACTAACCCACACCGGCCAGGCTAGCAAACTAATTTTTTTCTTAGCTTTTTATTTGGAAATAATACAGATTCTTAGGAAGTTGCAAAGCAATGTACAGGGAATTCCATGCATGCATCCTTCACTCTGCCTCCCCTAATGTTAACATCTTACAGAATTATAGGACACTCTCAGAACCAGGAAATTGGCCTTGGTGCAAGCCACAGAGCTGATTCATATTTTAACAGTTATACTTGCACTCATGTTTGTGTATGGGTCTGTGGAGTTTTATTACATGTGTAACCACCACTACAGTCCAGATACATAACCACACCATTGAAGTGCTGTTCCGTAGCTGCACAAACCCTTCTGCCTCTCATTCCTCACTGCTGGTAACCACTAATCTGTTCTTCCTTTTAATTGTTATTTCATAAATGTTATATGGGTATAATATACTGTATATATTCTTTTGAGAATCTTTCTCTTCACTCAGCAAAATTCCCTTAAGGTTTATCCAGGTCTTCTAGTATCAATATTGTGTTCTTTTTTATTGCTGAGTAGTATTCCATAGTATAAATGTATCACAGGTTTTTTAGTCATTTATCCTCTGACAGACATTAGGGTACTTTCCAGTTTTGAACTATTACAAAGAAGTATGCGAATTTCTATGTGAAAAAATACATTTTCATCTTTCTGGGATAAATGCCAAGAGTCTATATTATATTTTAATTTAGATTTAAAGAGCCAGATATGAATTCTTCAGCCAGATTAAAGTGTTAACTGTCCAAGAGATAGACAATCATAGTAGCACTACACATTTGAATGGATCAGAATTCAAAGTAAATCTCAAGGTAAATGTTTTACCCACAGAGACTAGACTTCATGAATGTAGCAAAAGACTGTCATGTCTTGTTTTTTTGAAGCTAAAACTACAGATGTTAATTTTTAAAATAATTTGTAAATAGTAGCTATTAGTTCTCATTATTTAGGTTAATAAATTCGGTGTTTTTTCCTCCAGTGGTCTTATTAGTAATCAGTGTACAAGCCGAACCAACAACTTGAATGCTTACTGCATGTTATATAGGAACCTTTTTGGAATACCCTTCAGCATGTTCCTGATGTTTAGTTACCACTGGAGAATTTCCATTACTGAATTTTACACCATTGAATTAGTTGTGTTTTATTTACAGAAAGACGAGCCAGATGCTTTCAAAGAGCTGGGGACAGGAAATAGGATTGCTACGTGGCTGTTTTATGTAAGTTATAGCTAAAATTTTTATTTTAAGTTGGGATTTTATCACATGACTCGTTTATTTTGATGTGTTTAGATGTTTGCTCTTAACCATCCTAAAGTTTTTACAACTCAGTAAAGGGAGTTAAGAATTTCTTTTTCAATAGTAACTTTTTCAGTTATAATGTTACCACCCGAGAAGAAAGTTAAAATTACTGACGGTTTTGCTACTTGGAGACAGTTATTGTTGATACTTTGTAGTATGGACTGCTTAGTTACTTATGTGTACATAAACATCTCTATATGAATTTACTTTTTTTTTTTTCTCACCCGAGGACATTTTTGCATTTATCTTCAGATATAGCGGGAGGAAGAGAGAGAGAGAGAAACATCAATTGGTTACCACTCACATGACCCCGGCCAGAGACAAACTGCAACCAAGGGACATGCCCTTATTGGGAACCAAACCGGCCAGGGCTGAATTTACATATTTGTAGTCAGGTGATGACTGCAGATAACTCACATTTTCATAGTTTTGAATTTGTATTGATATATCAGAAAAGTATACAAATCATTAAGCATAATACAATAAATTTTCATAGAGTGAACACATCTGGTATAATCAGCATCCAGATCAAGTAGTAGCACCCTAATGCCCCATCAAAGGAACGATTCTCACATTGTTTATTGATTATTTTTTAAAGAGAGAGGGAGGGAGAGAAAAACATCCATTGGCTGCCTTCTGCACACCACCTACTGGGGATCGAGCCTGCAACCTGGGCATGTGCTCTGATGGGGAATCAAACCGGGACCTCTCAGTCCATGGGACAGTGCTCAATTGACTGAGCCACACCAGCCGAACTGCTCTTAATTTTTAAAATTAAGTATATATTCACACATATAGAAAAAATTAAGATTTGATCATAATATTTGCCCTAGTTAACTGTTGCTGCATAACAAATTGCCCCCAAACTGAATGTTTTAAAACAACTTTATTTTTATCTTTCATGGTTGTGAAGTTCACTGGGCTTTGCTCATGGTTCTTCTGGATCTCTCATGCGTGTGCAGTCAGGTGATGACAAGCACTAGGGTCCATCTTAAAGGCTGAAACTCAGGCTGGCTGTTGGCCAGAAGACCTCCATGAGGCTTTCTCACACATAGTGACTGTATTACAAGAGCAAGTATCCCCCAAAAAACAAGGCAGAACTGCAGGGTACTTTATTACCTACCCCCAGAAGTCAAATAGTGTCATTTCTCTATTTTATTAATTGAGGCAAAGGTCTGCCAAAGGGAGGAGACATAGACATTACCGCTCAAGAAGAACGTCAGTGTTGTAAAAAGAGCATGTAGGACAGGACATATTGTATTAGGAAAATATAATGTTCTGCAGTGTTATAATCTTCGCTAACTTAAGATGTCTTAGCTCAGCCAGGTGGCTCGGTTGAAGCATTGTCCCATACATCAAAAAGGTTGTGGGTTCGATTCCCAGGCAGAGCAGGTATGAGAGGCAACTGATCGATGTCTCTCTCTAAAATCAATAACCATATCCCCAGATGAGGATTTTAAAAAATGATGTTTTATATCTCAGTCCACAGAGCCACACTGGCTGGCAGCAGTTATTGTGGTTTTAATTTGCATTTCTCTAATTAGAGAGGTTAAGTATCTTAAGAGCCATTAAATGTTTGTTTTGGCTGTATTTGTTTGCTTTTATGAATATCATGATGCTATATTATTTGGTCCAATATCCATTTGTATTAGATATTTTGATTAGATTAATATTCAATTCTCCTGCCCCCCCCCCATTGTTTAAATACTATTCCTAGGTGAGCCACATAGCCCAACTTTTTCATTTCTCCAAATTTGTACTTAGTTACTAAGAGCTGTTAATTCTTTGATATTGATAAAGAAAGGTATTTTACCATGAAAAATATATTATCTCACTTCATGCTTTTTACCTTGATTTAGACTGTGTCTGATACCAAGATCAAACTGCTTTCTTTGGTACAGCATTTACCTGGCAAATCTTATCTTTGTTTTCAGCGTTTGCTTTGTGATGCAGTCTCAGTCTGTCTATACATACTATTTATGTTGCTTTTGAAAAACATCCCCACTGTGTGACTTGCTTCCTTTGCCATGTTTTGTGCATGTGCTTCTTTTCTCCTCACCTGAGGATATGTTTCCATGTATCTTCAGATAGAGCGGGAGGGAGAGAGACATACATCAACTGGTTGCCTCCTGCACAACCCCGACCAGGGAATGAACTGCAACTCTTTGGTCCACGGGCCGACGCTCTAACCATTAAGCAACCGGCTAGAGCAGCACCTACTGTTCTAGATACTAAAGCTCGGCAATGAAAATTCCTGCCCCATGGAGATTTTATTATAGTGTCATAAATATTTATACCCCTATATTACCTGGTTTATCAAAAATCATTCTTTTTACCTCTGGCTGTAAGTGAAGTGCCTGTCCCAAATTATTCCCATCTCCCTTCCTGACTTTATAATTTCTTTGTTTTATATTTGTTTGCTAAAAACTGAGTAGCATGCACAAACCCACCTCTATAAGTAGAATTCCAGATGTTTTCCTAGCCTAGTATTACATCCTCCTCACAATGGCATGTTTAACTCTATCAGCCATTTGGTAATACCCTCTTATCTCTTACAGATGAGTGATGTGTCAGCAGGAGGAGCCACTGTTTTTCCTGAAGTAGGAGCTAGTGTTTGGCCCAAAAAGGTAAACTTGGTTTGTTATTTTAATATTTGTTGTCCCTTTATTTTTTTCCTAAGAAAGAGGTGCCTCTTTATTTTATGGTCTAATTAATGAATTAGAATTTTAAAGGTAATATACTTAAGGACTATATTATCTCTAGGTAAAACTATGATTATGTCACAGTTTACCATGAGTACCTAAAGTATTTAAAAGTTTCATTTCTAAAATGGGTTCCATGTGAGTTTCCTCTCCATCCTGCTATTGGAAAATACCTTTTTGTCAAGCACTTTGTAGTATTAATGTTTTCACCAAAATTTTGTAAATGATTATTATATTTTCAGAATTATATTAGAGGAATACTTTCACAGGAGGACAATTTAATTACTGTTAAAGGAATACTTTCACAGGAGGACAATTTAATTACTGTTAAGAGTTAGAACCTGATATTTTATTTGGGGACTAATTTTGTATTCTCACAGGGAACCGCTGTTTTCTGGTATAATCTGTTTGCCAGTGGAGAAGGAGATTATAGCACACGGCATGCAGCGTGTCCAGTGCTAGTTGGAAATAAATGGGGTAAATGTTTTCCATATTCTCTAAACAGAATTTGTTTCATATTTTGAAATTATTATAATCTATATCTTAAAAGAAATTGAAAACAAAACTTTTGACAGATTTGCCTGCTATGACTTTAACATTGAAAAGATTCCACCAAGCAAGTTACTGATCTTTTAAATCCTCACCGGAGAATGTGTTTTCTATTGATTTTTAGAAAAAGAGAAACATTGGTCAGTTGCCTCCTGTACGTCCCATGACCTTTTGGTGTATAAGACAATGCTCCAACTAGTGGAGTTATTGATCTTAATATAAATTTGCTTTTAACAGACCAGAATTTTGATGACATTATTTTAAATAGTATTTCCACTTGTTACTCTAAAAATCATTAATTGACTCAAAGCTGAATAAGAAAGTATCTTCCCCTTAAGGGGTTCACAGTTGTCTCAGAGACAATACTAATAGATAAATTGTAAACAGAAGATGGCAACTCCTTACCTTTAGGGAGGCTTCTTCAAAGCTTAATTTTTAAGTTTGGTCTTAGAGATAGAGCAGTAGTTCTCCAAGCATGTTAGGTCCAGGACTGGCATGACTTGCCACATTATAAAAAGAAACAGGTGAAGTTATTTGATAAGTATTTAACCCCATGTATCCATTTTAATATGTGTCACTGCTCACATTTCCATGGGAAGATCAAGGAGTGATACCTGATCGTCAGAATTAAAAAACCCTCCCCGATGATTATGTTTGAGAACCACTAGACTAGAATGAAGAGAGGCTCATGGAGGAGAGATGAGTTTAGAAAGATTTTTTTCCATTGTCTGGGTGGATGATGTATGAAAGCCTGGACTAAGGCAACAGCAAAAGGGTTGGAGAGCCAAGAATAGATGTAAAGAAAATTGGATGTAGGAGAAGGAATTGAAAGTTAAGAATAGTAGTGATTGATCATAGAATTGCTCCTTTAGAGTGAAGACTTTGGTTAATTTAAAAAATATCATTATAGCCCGGCCGGTGTTGCTCAGTGGTTGAGCAATGCACCAAGAGGTCACCGGTTGGATTCCTGGTCAGGGCACATGCCTAGGTTGTGGGCCGGGTCCCCAGAGTGGGAGGCATGCAAGAAGTGGCCAATCAATGTTCTCTCTCTATAAAAATATTAGAGGTTCTATTTGTACCTACATTTTAATTTCATTTGTTTCATTTCAAACCTTACATTGAACATTAGAAACTTTGGGATATGCACATATATAGACTGTCAAATGTACATACATGTACCTAAAATCTTCTATGTTTCAGCCCTGGCCAGGTGGCTTAATTGATTGGAGCATTGTCCCATATACCAAAAGGTTGTGGGTTCAATCCCCGGTCTGTGTGCATATAGGAGGCAACCAATCAGTATTTCTGTCTCTAAAAGCAATAAAAAAACGTCCTCAGGTGAGGATTAAAATAAAATTTGTGTTTCTAACTTTTAGTGAAATATTTAAAAGACTGCTTAAGTAGCATCTGGCTTTATTTAGTTTTGGTCTTGAACATTTAGCCCATGTAAAAACTTTATTATAGACCTAGTTCTTATCAGTGAATTAAATGCTAGTTAGTGGGAAAAATTAACATATTTTATTCTCTCACAGTATCCAATAAATGGCTCCATGAACGTGGACAAGAATTTCGAAGACCGTGCACCTTATCAGAATTGGAATGACAAATAGGCTTCTCCTGCTGTACTTGGATGTATCTGATACACACAGTTCCCAGTCTTAACTTTCAAGAGTTTACAACTGACTAACAAACACTCCATGACTGACTCAGTTATGAACCTCACACCATCATGTTTCATCTGTGGACAAATCACTAACTTTGTGGGTGTTTTCTTTTAAAAGTAACACTGAATCACCATATTGTACATAATAAAACCTTCAAATTCAGTTGGTATCACAAAGGACAAAGCAAGGCAGAATTAAAAATGAGGAACTTTTACATGTTATATATTTTAAAGAACTTTTCGTTTAGATAAAAATACACTTTAAGCATCTGATCATAGTATATCACTACATCTCTGTGGGTGGTCGACTGGAATGGACCGTGTGATTAAGGAAGACATACACGCCTTATAGTGTGTACCTAGGCACTGGGTTTACCTAGTCTTACTACTTATTTTCTGGATCTGCCTGAAGATTAGGAATAAACCTGGCCTCTAATCTGGGTTCCATACAATGTGTGTCCCTCCATCCACTTTCTAAGTTGATTTTTTCCCCCTCCCATGTGTCCTTTTTACTGTATTTTACCAATCCCCCTTTCCGCTCATAGCTCCATTGTGGTGAATTAAGTCTGTTCGAGGTAAAATACTTTGGTTAAGAAAAAATTTAACAGGAAGCCCTACAGAACGCCAGGGCTTCTTAACTAAAATGATCTTCACTTGGTTTGTTTTTTTAAATGACTGATGATTTTGTCCATAAAATTTGCTGTTTTTCTTAGTGCCAATACCTTGCCTCTTATTCTTTCTACAGCAGGGTGGTGATACTGTCTTTCTGATTAAATAAATATTGTGCCTTAGGAGACTGGAAATTTAAGTCCTTTCAGTGATGAGGGATTTTAAAAAGAAATAATCTTCCTCAAAAGCCAAAATGTTTGTTCTTTCAATTCTGAAGTGTATTGTGACAACAGTGACCTATTTATGATCTTAAATCTTTTTTTAAAAATGTTTCTGTTTTCCGTGTGGTATTTTTATATTTGAATGTGAATGCATGCTATAGTGATAAGACTTGGGTTTGTCCTCTTGGTTTTCATTCACTCTAATATCTCATTTTTTATGGAAAAAGAATTTAGGTTCTCTGAACTCTCAGCTACTTAACCAAAATATGTTTCCTTTAAGGGGAGTTCTACAACTTCACTCTGGTTATGGGGTTATTACAATATTGGTACTTAAGACTTTCTTTTATTTATAAATATGGTGGGGTAGCAGTGAATCTAATGAACTATGTTAATGACCCCTTAGACTAACTTTTTACATTCATACAAGGGCTCTTTATCCTTTATGCAGTATTTAAATATTTAAGAAAGAATTTGATTACATTTCTGGGAAAGAAGGTATTACTGTTACCAATTAAAAAAAAAAACACAAGTCTTCCTTTTTCCAGCTATCCTTTTGTTCCACCACAACTATTTGAGTAAGAAATATTGAGAATTAAGTTCAGTACTTTCATCTACTCAAATTTTGTGACAATAGGTGATTTTTTTAAAACCCTTTTTTAGATAGAAGCAATATTAATTCAAAACGATAGAAATAAAATAGAGGTTCCAAGGATGGAAACCAACCTTTATTGGCATACGTTTTAGCAAGTAGAATAAAAATAACATCTATTTCATGAGGAAATAACATTCCATAATCTTATCGATTTCCTCCTTATATTCAACCTCAAACCCCACCTGGGGATTTGGTCAACTCTTTTCAGTGTTAGCTCTTATAGAACCCTCCCAATTTTCATGATTACACACTATTTTTCTTTCCAAATGAAAAGAGGAAAAATCCAGTATAAAGCTTTGGGTCCAGTGGTCTTTGCCATCCTTTTTGTTGTTATTTAATAGTGAACTTTAAAATGAGGGCTATCATGGAAAATGTGGTTTCCTCACCAAATCTACCTGTCTATCGTTCATTAACTTTAAGCATGGAGTTATCACCACTACCACCAACATGCAGTTAACTGAAATATCCACCCGAACACTTGAACAGCAGGGTAAGTAAATGTGGTAACTATGTAATAATCTAGTAGGGTTACTTTTTTTAATTTAATGACTTCAGCATTCTTAGAAAAGTTAAATGTTAAATGCATTGATGAAAGAAGTAATCAACCATCTACTTTGTTGAAAATATAAAATGGTAATTACAGTGTAGGATTAAGAATTGATGTATACAGTAAAATCACATATATAAATTATATGTAAACTAGTTTGTGTGTTTTTGTATGATCTTATTGCTGCTGAGAAGAATCTAAATATCATTATGTGTTGACTGGTTGTGTGTATACAATGTATCCACTTAAGTCCATCTAGCTGAAAAATGAACAACTTATATGCAAGGCCCCATAAGCTAAACAGTTGAATGACTGGATTCCTGCCATTAAGAAATATACAGTATCATACCAACACAAGAAACACTCAGTCATGATTAAATAACTATAAATCACTTGAGACAGAATAAACAACTCCAAACTAGAGCCTGCTAGGAGAAAGCAAGATGAAAATGACACCTCCATTTGCCAGCTAACAACACAAGAACTGCGTCTTCCTTGGCAGCACTTATTTCACTGTGGTAAGAGATGGTGTTTCACAAGGAAGACTGTTGGATAGCTTAGAGAAAAAGGACTGAATTAACACGAGAGAGGATCAAATGCTCAGGTTTATCAGGAAACAGATTTCACATTCCTATTCTAATGTCCTTGGATGGGACCCCACCACACTGATGAGTTTTGCAAAATAAACTGTAATGTACCAGTACAGTTCTTGGCTGCCTGCTTTATTAACTTTTGAGAACTGTAAAGTTTACTTTCTGTGTAAATTTAGCCCTCACTTAAATATACATTTTGATTCAGGAATAAATTTTATATATATATATATATCACATCAATAGTAAGGTAGTCCTATCAAATGTGAAAGATTTTAAATAAAAGAACAACTACAAGAAGTGGAAGTCCTCCATAGTCTGATTTTTGAGGTCTGTTGAATTCCTACTGCAGCACTTACTCTGTTGAAATTAGTTTACAAAACAAGATAATCACAGATAAGCCCTAAAATCTGAGAAAAGGAAATTGAAATAACCAAATAAAATCTGAGGATTTCCTAACAGGTTTATTTCTAATACAAATATATTTTAGGATAAGCACCTTAAAGGATTCAGAATAGAACAGTTTTAATAGACCATGTGTGATGTGCACTTTTGATTTTTAGAGAGGGAGAGAAACATCAATGTGAGAAACATCAAGGACACATCTATTACTGGCCTCCTACCAGGGATCAAGCCCACAACCTAGGCATGTGCCGTGTCTAGGAATTGAACTGGCGACCTCTCTGTGCACAGGATGACGCCTGGCCAGGTGGTGATGTGCACTATTTCACGTCGTCTTTTTAGGTTGATGAATTGTGTACTAAGTAAACCTTTTCTTAGAAAAGACATTCACTTATTTTTAAGTCCACAGTGAGCCAAAATTATTATTGTAATATCTACTTTAAAGCCATAAATGTAATTAAACTCCATTGTAATGTAGGTTTTATGAGTTTGAATATTACCAGGTGTTAGATCATATTACATAACTACATAATAGTTAACTTCTGAATAATAGATAATGAATCTTATTCTTTGATACCTGTATAATGATGAAACATTATAGTTGTTAATTCTTAGAAGATGTACTAAATTCAACAATTATGTTAGTTATTTCATGTTCTATTTTTACTTTACATTTAAAAAGCAAAAAAGTTAGGGTTCTATGACATGAAACACCTCTCAGACTTTTATCTGAGATGGAAAAAAGTATTTCTTACTGAAAATAGTGTTATCTTTCCCATAATCCCTTTTTACTTACTCAACTATGGGAAAAGAGTCTCTGGAAAATTCAAGTAAGGTAATAATTGCAAGTGCTCCTTAGTGTGGTTTGCAGAAGAGTTGACATGAGGCTTGTTATTGGTCCACAACGACATAAGAAGATTACATCAAAATATAAACTGCCCTGGCCAGTTTGCTCAGTGGTTAGAGCATCAACCTGTGGTCTCGAGAGACCCGGGTTCGGTTCCCGCTAAGGGCATGTACCATGGCTGCAGTTTGTCCCCGGCCCTAGTTGGGTCGTGCGGGTGGCAGCCACTCGATGTGTCCCTTTCACATCGATGTTTCTCTTTCCCTCCCATTCTATCTGAACAAAAAATGGAAAAATGTCCTTGGGTGAGGATTAAAAAATGGATGGATGGATGGATGGATGGATGGATGGATGGATGGATGGATGGATAGATAGACAGACTACATCAATAAGTACAGTTTTGTTCAGTTGGCTTTTTTCATAGCAAGATTTTCATGATGAAGAAAGTATATTATTTACATTGTGGTATGAGTTTTTTTGTTTTTGTTTTTTTATCTCAGTGGGAACCAGCTTTAAATAGTGTTGCTCTAAAATAGTACAAATTGAATCTTGCTTGAGGCAGGAAAGGCAGACTTTATATGTCTTCGTATAATGGGAAAGATAATTCAGAATAATCATTTAGCTTTGCAAATGTTTCAAGGAATCAACATGTTTACATTTTAGCATTCTGTTTTTAAGGTGATTGGGGTCAACTATTCCTTTAGTCCTAAAACCACTTAATCTGACTAGTTCTATTTGGTATAACATATTTAAGAACATCAGTTCTAGAGGAAGATACTGGACTAAGAAGCTCCAGATCCTCGTTTCCCCCATGGGAACACAAAACTTAACAACTGGAGTTGGGGTAAAATAATTTTAGAGAGATCTGGAAAACAGCCAGAGGTTTACAGTAACCAAGTGAAGATCCATTCAAGTAAAAGTCACATTCAAAATAGTAGGAATTTTGAGGGTTTTTTTTTTTTCTTAATAAGTATTTTTTATTTATTTATTGATTTTAGAGAGAGGAAAGGAGAGGAAGGGAGAGATAGAAACATCAGTGAGAGAGGACATAGATTGGCCGCCTCCTACATGCCCCCCACTGGGCATTGGGCCCACAACCTGGGCATGTGCCCCGACCAGGAATCCAACCAGCAACCTCTTGGTGCATGGGTCAACACTCAACCCCTGAGCCACACCAGCCAGGCTCATAGTGTTTTTACTTACCCTCACCCTACCCCAAAGCAGATGCAGCACAGTTGGGAGGAGTAGCTACCCAGTTACCTCTCAGACCAGAGGAAGCAAAACAGTCCCTGTTTATGATGTTCTAGTCTGTTTGGAAGCTGCCTGAAGGACTGGTCTGTTTAACCTAACTCAGGGCTCAGATAGGGAAAATCATATAGCTAGAAAAAGCCCTGGGAAGCATCAGACACTGCTTCTTAAAGCTTCAGGGGGAACTACAGACTTGCAAATGGCAGCAACAAGGATTAGAGGTACAATAGGAGGCTTAAAACAGGTTGGGGTCAGACTTTTAGGGAAAGACTTAAAAGCAGTCATGTGTATGGGGAGATCAAAAAAGGACAAGCAGCTCTGGCTGATTTGGCTCAGTAGTTGGAGCATCAGCCCACGGACCAGTCACAGGTTTGATTCTAGTCAAGGGCACATACTTGGGTGGCAGTTCCGTCCCAGCCCTGGTTGGGGCCATGCAGGAGGCAACCAGTTGATGTCTCTCTCTCCCCATCTCACTCTATCTGAAGACAAATGAAAAACTATCCTGGGGTGAAGATTAAAAAAAGAAGAAGAACAAGCTAGGTAGGTCAAGATGCATGCCAAGAAAAGACCTTAGGCTACCACTCCAGGCTGATTCCAGGATCAGAACATGCCCTAATTACTGGAGGCATTCCTCAGTATGGAACCAGTCTGCAAAGACTGGGAGAAGTAGCAGGTTTTTTTGAATATTTAATTTTCGACTGAAAAGAAAAATTACTAAGTATACAAGGAAACAGGAAAACATGGCCCATTCAAAGGAAGAAAAATGATGTGGGAAAAACCACTTC